CGCACTGGCTGCCCGCCTGCCGCACCGCAGCGTGCCACGGCGCTTGAAGCAACTATTTCACACCAGAGGTATTGCACAGTATCATACGAAATTGAAGGCGCTCCAACATATTAGGAATGACAGGCATCCTTCAAAAGTGCGGAGCTTTCCTCGCAAAATAAATCAAGATACTACGGCCCAAAAAGAGAGCAGTAGTCCAAAAACTCACTAAGTCCTAGCATCCGTAATTAGCAACGTTTAGCATACACTTTATCGCCAGGCTGTTGCTTAGTCGCCATCGGCTATAAAAGGCTATAAGAAATTGTGTTGCCGGCTATAGAATTTATTGGAAATCTTACAGCCGGCCGTAGGTCTATGGTATTCTGGAACACAGATTCTACTGCCAATTTTTACCAGGGTAATCTTGGCGCCAGATATTAGAGTAGGTGCAAAAGACATAAGTATGGTTAAGTCAGCTCAAAGTGTGCTTGGATCAACCATACCTCCAGCTGGTGCCCTCGCGGTTAGCACAAGTGTGGTTTAATTAACTATACTACTGGCTGGTGCCGTTACACTTCCAGCTGGTGCAACTACTCTTACGGTTGAGTTGAGTTTTTTTAAGTGCACATATTACATTTTTACGAGGAGAATCCTGGGCATTTCTAATTGAAAATTTCATTGATTTTTCCTCTTATTCCATTTAAAAATCAGGCACATTTCCGAAAAAGAGACGGAGGTGTATTCTTGAAAAAAAGTGAATTGCTTGAGTCAGTTTTGCATCCTTGAAGTTACGTTCCTTCCTGCGGGAAGCGACGATGTCTTGTTTTCATACTTATAAGACGGAATTTGCTGTTTTAGCTACTTCGTGTTTTCATCTAAGAGAAACTAGACTAATTGTGAAGGAAATTCAATTTCGAAAATTTGAGACTTACGCAGCTGGGCTAAGGATGAACGCCATAGAACCTTCAAGCGTTGCCAAATTTCGATTAATAAAACACGAATTTCCTGGTAAACTCATGAATCTTGTTCTTCTAATCTTTAAATAATTTTGTTCACAGTTTCACATAAAGATCCTGAAAATTCCGAAGAAAAATATGCATAACTTTCCTCAAAACTAAACAATTTGCTGTTTTAGCTACTTCGTGTTTTCATCTAAGAGAGATCAGACGAATTGTGAAGGAAGTTCAATTTCGAACATTTGAGACTTACGCAGCTGTTCTAAGGATGAAAGCCATATGAACCTTCAAGCATTGCCAAATTTCGATTATTAAAACACGAATTTCCTGGTAAACTCATGAATATTTTTCTTCCAATTTTTAGATAATGTTGTTCACAATTTCACCTAAAGATCCTGAAAATTCCAAGGAAAAATATGCATAACTTTCCTCAAAACTAAACATTCGACGGACGGTTTGGCAACTCCTGAATGTTCATACGGTGTTCTTCCTTAGCACGACAGTACGGCTCTCGGCCAGAGTCAAGAAATTTCGTGAAAGATTATAAGAAGAAATTTCATGAGGAAATTTCAAGAAATTTCACGAGGAAATTTCAAGAAATTTCATGGGGGAAAAAGGAATTTCATGGAAAAAAAATTTCATGAAATTTCTTGTGAAATTTCACGAAATTTCATTCGATGAAATTTCTTTTAGCAACTCTGCTCTCGGCTATCACAGCAGATTTATGATGTAACCTACAAACCCGACAACGGCGCCTTAAAGCTCGCCGGCTCCTGGATGCTCCACTAAATGAGTAAAGTTGAAAGCTCTGCAGCTTTTTCAGGACGACGGAGCGTGTAGACACGGCCCCTACAACGGCCGGCGCGACACAATGCCCCGCGCCTTTGTTAATTGGAATGATCCTTTGATTAATATCTGACAATTTCGCACTTTGAGTCTGTCATTTTTGTCCCCCGCCCCCCGCCACACAGTGGATCGAGTTAATTAGAGAGATCGCGCAAGACATTTTTGACCAGAATCTTAAATTTCGATGTTTATTTCGTCTCGTTTTAAATGTTTAGAGGTGGTTCTGGAAGAAAATTTCACGAGGAAACCAGTGGAAAAACTTTTAGAACCTCAAAATTGTGTATGAACGGAGTTTAAAGCTGTTAAAGTTTCCAAATTTTGTCCGACTTCTCCTATTGACTCGACCCACTGTGCCGTGCCGGTGGGACCCAGGGACCGTGTGCTGGGTCCAGAAACCTCAGAACATTCCACCGAGTTAGTTCGTCAGCGTCAGTTGATAATTTCGCAAAAAACGGGGCTGCGGCAAAAGTCGTAAAGGTGGAATGACAAATGGCTCATTAGAGCTGCAAAAGTCCGATCCACACGAATTCCTAAATGCAGAAAGGGGACCTGTCCACATTTTAGTGAAACTGAGTTAAGCACAGATTCTCATTTCTTAGTATACTGCCATACTAAATGCCAAAGAGGAACGCCGTATGAGTCTTTAGACGTTGCCGCATTTCCTTCGATAATTAACGAATTTACTGAGGAAATTGTGAAAAATTTTCTACAAATTTTTCAACAAATTTGTTTGCGATTTAATTTAAAATATCTGAAAATATTAAGGGAAAACATGTATAACTCTCCTCAAAAATCCATGTTTTATTCGAGGAAATTTGGCACGTTTTGGATGTTCCCTGGGGTTGCATAAATGAAATCAAAGATGAAAAGTTCTATATTATTTAACATGAGATTTCACAAAGCTGTGAAAATAAGAAACACAGTTTTTCCGGAGCCGGGTATGCAACACATACTAAAAAAATTCCATACATAAATAAAAACCAACCATATAATTTTTTTTTTCATACGTTCCTATAATTCCTTATATTTCATTACATATTTCGCATGAGAAATACGCGGCCTGGAGTTAAACTGATTTCTCACTTAAAGCTCAAAGCCGTTGAACCCCCGCGAACTTGGATTGATATAGCGGGGAGTCGGGTGGGTACAGGAGACAGAGGGAAAGGTCATGCGCCAGGAGAGCACTAGCGCTCCCAGCGGGAAAGACCTGCAACTAAGCTGACACCGCCAAGCAAAATCGACGCGGGCGAGAGTTCGAGCTGTGAATCGGTCGGGTGTGGAGTATGCTACTCCATGGCGGTTTTGTTTTGTTGTCGGTTCGTGACCTGTGATTTCATCGTTACTTTATCGGACGAAATTCGCGTAAAACAAACTCAGAATCGAGTTTATTTGAATCTCCGTGAGTTCATCCTTTCTCCGACTTAATCAGTGAAACTCTATGTCTTCGAGTTGTTCTAAATTCGAACGATGTGACGGATAAAATTGTGCGTTTTGATCGGTGTTTTTGCACTGCAGCGTTCTTGCGATTGATTTCTGTCGCGTTTTGAAGTTTAACTGTGCGGATATCCTCTCCCGATGTGAAATCATTATTTTTAAAGTACTTAGACCATCCTCAACAGACGAGGAGGTGAATTGATTTTATCTGCATGTTGGTACGGTTCTTATCAATGTCCAATCACAATTGTAAACAAATCTATTTCTTAGTGTCGTTTCTCCGTGTTATCAAGTCCTTTTTGCTCTGAATTTTGATAAAAATAATTATTTCTCTGTGAGGATTAGAGTTTAATCTGTTGGGGAAAGGGCCACAACATGAGAACGTCGGAATTTTGATCAATACATTGCAGACTGCCGCACATAACCTATTTGTTTTCAAGCCATGAATTCGCTGCTTTCAGTATTCTGCAGGCTTTAATTTTGTTGTTTCTCTGCTAGCAGTGATTGATTCTGCACTGTTTCTTCTTCCCAAGCTTTTGTACTTCTATTACTTCACTCTCTTTAACTCTGAGGTCATTGTCATGGCTCCATTTTCACTCGGCTGCTATTCCCGACGTGCGTGTCTCGGCTATCGCTCCTCTGCATTGAGCGCGTAGGTCCCGCTCTGTGGTTTAATTGTATAGAATAGGTTTCAGATCTTATCAATCAATCTATGCTAACAACAGCGTACTTTTCAATCTTTCAGGCCAATTTTATATTGCCACATATTTGAACTCTACGAAAATTCTTCTGTCGCTTAAACTAAATATTTTGCTGGAGCCAATCGAAGCAACAAAAGTGAGGGTCTAACGAGCATTTCTTATTTTCAGTATGAGCTGTCTCCTAAGTATCATTCTGTCAAGTTAATTACAATTACTTGAGGAGCATGGTTTGTCTCAAATTGTTACCTGAAATCAATGCAGGAACCTTTAATGTGTACCATTTGATCTAATCATTTACTTAAAGTACACGTTCTTCTTGTGGCCACCAATTCTGATAGAGTTTATTGATAGTGATATACACTCATTGATTGTATTACAGTAAATTCTTTACGTGCATTACCTCCCTCTGCCAAAGATCTATCTGTAGAAAATTCTTTCTTTCTGTTTCAAATATTGCTTTCCTCTGTCCATTGTTGCTTCCTCATACTTAGCAGAATCTTAATTATGTACCTTGAGTTTTCGAGTGGATGATACTCCTTTCTCTTGACTGAGAGCACTTGCCGCATTTGTGTATATTTCTTTCAGTGTATTTACTCAGACAGTGTCGAGTAAATGTGGCTTTGCTATCTGTAGGTTTCTTTACTATCTCCTGATTTCTGTTGCCACTATTTTAATTTGTTCAGCTTTTAATGAGGACCCTTAATTGTAGCGTTTAGTCGCACGAGGTCACAAGATAACTCAGGGAATTACTTACCATGATTAACTGACACCAGGATCTCAGAGAGGATTCTAATCTCCAACATAAAAGCATATTTAGCTTTCCTCTGAATAATTTCTGCTGTGGTATTTATCCCATACCCAACCTTCAATCTTAAGGCCTGCAGCTAAGAATATTTCCTCTTTCTCTTTTTTCAGTGATGCCCGGTCATCTAGTGTGTTTTAAGTCTCCAGTTTGGACAACCAAAGCAATTAATACTACTTGATGAATACATATTTTTTTCTGAATTATTGACTTGTGTGAACAGATTTAACCATGAGTCCCAACGGAGTGTTATCCTTCGTTGTTTGCGCCACAAGTTTAATTGTGTACTACAATAGTTGTCAGTGCGGGTTTGTGTTCGATGACATCAGTGCAATCAAAGAAAACCGCGACTTGCGACCTCACACTCCAATTCAGAATCTGTTCGTCAATGATTTTTGGGGCACACCAATGCACAAGGTAAGCGGCGTCAAGCTTTCTATTATATTATTGTAGGTTCAAGTATCGGCAGGGTTCAAGTTGTATTAAACATTTTTTTTAATTTTATCTAATAAAAATTGCTCGGCATGTCAAGGAAAATATATGGACAGGATTATGAGCATTTTAATCAACTTTAAACTTGTGCAAATGAGTAACTCCGTAATCAGCACAATTGTGAAGATCAAAGCGGCCAAGAAAGCTGTCAAATACATGAAATTTAATAGCCTGGAAATATGCCCATAAATACAGGAAATTTTGGGATCCCGTAGTAGTGCTAAGCAAGCATTCTAGGTTCTTTTTTTTGGGAGGGGGGGGGGAGAAAAGGGAAAAAATGGAAACTGTAACAAAGAAACCTGACGATTTAATTTCTCTCACGATTATTAATATTTAATATCAACGGTGAAAGTACCAGACCATGTGCATCAGTTTTCGACGCTGTAGATTTCCTGTCATACTTAATTCTTTAAATGGAAAACTACTCAAAGTTAATTCTTGGAAACTGCCCTGTGCGAAAAAAACTGTAAAAATTTCAAGAAATTTTATTGATTTGTTCACCTTCAAGAAAATAAAACAGGAGCAGAGATTTTTAAACTCCGCAAACGAGATACCTGCTCTGATAGTTTCACCGCCGATATGCACCGCAACACACAGTAAATTTCTTATGAGTAATTATTTACGCTGAACTAGATATGACAGAAGAATCATGAAAATTATTCTGGTTCAAGCACACAAAATTGCATTGCATATTCTTTTTTTGGAAGAATTGATATTCCCAATCTTATAATGTTTAAAGCAACAGCAATTGTTTTGCTCAAAGAAGGCAAAAAAGAATGCTGAGGGGGGAATCAGTTTGATATTACTTTTAAGAATCATGTCGGCTACCGAGAGTTTTTCACTTTGATTAGCCGGAATGCTCCTTAAAGTTAATTGATTTTATAACTGCCAAAGAAATCCCCTCAACCGTGTCCTAAGGGAAAATCTATGAACATCCAAGAGTTGCCAAATTTCCTCCGATAAAATGTTTATTTTTAGAGAGCCTGTCCCCGCTTTAGTATTGAAAATGGTATCATCTACCTCCCTCTCTTTAAATTCTGGTTAGAGGAAACATAAACAGAAACTATTTTGAATCCATCAAATCGAAAGTAATTTAAGATAAAAATACATTAGTAAAACAGTGTAATTTTTGTGCAGAAATGAATAGAAAATTTGCTTTGCGGACGCCTCAAAATGTGCCCAAGTAGAGTTAAAATTTGAAAATTTTCCAATGTAATGTACAGAATATCTGTTTCATCCACCATTTCAAAGGTATTTTCAGTGAAAAGTATCTAAACCAGCGTAATTTTTGTACAGGAAAGAATGGAAAATTTTCGTTACGAAAGCCTTTCAGAAAAATTTGTAGAAAAATATCCACCATTTTCCTAGCAAAATTTAGCCCTGTCGCATCACTAAGTAAGTCCTGCGTCTCTATGGCTGGTACACTGAAAAAAATCTCTCGAGACTTAATTTTGACTTAAAGCGTCGTTTCTTGTCGACAAAATTTGGGTTTTTATTTAAATTTATTTTTTAATTTAAATCCGTGCGCATTCATCTCAACATTAGTTTTTTTAGTTAAAGAAGCGTCGTTTTGGAATCGTAAGTTTAAGTTAAAACAGCGCTAGCAAAACAACGTTTCTGTAACGCAAAAACACTGACGTCAAACTAAATCGAACTGATGTAACTCAAAAATTCCAAATTTTATCGACAAGAAACGATGCTTCAAGTCAAAACAAATCTCAAGAAAAAAGGTTTACAGTGTGTTTCAAGTACATTGGAAGAAAGAATAACGTATAACTGGCAAATTCACTCACTCACGTAACTTGGGCAAAAATCTGACAAATTCTGGACATCTGTAAAATTAATCAATTTATTGTTAGGGTCAATTTGGCAACCTTGAAGTGAAGTTACGTTCCTTCGTTCGCGAGACTACGATATTTCACTGATTCTTCGGCGGGAAAAATTCCTAAATTGAAACCGGAGATTTCTGCCCATTTTTCTGCAGATCCCTCTGTCTCTATGTCATCCATGCTCTTAAAGAGCATTGTCAATGTTGATGATGGGTGTTTAATGTTAAAAATCGAGGAGTGAAATTCAGCGCAACACCTAATTATTTTGAAGGCCAGCACAAGATGAGTTTTTTGACGTATCAGCGGCTAAGACTAGGCGAATTCGAAAAATCATCCCCCTCTTGGACTTGAAATTTTCAAGAGAGAAGGTGGTTTTATAGGGTAGGTGCTCAGAAAATACTTCGAAGACTTGAGCCAGATGAGTCTATAGAAGTGTTGGCGGCCATGTTTGGATGAGTTTGAAAAATTATCCTCCAATGAGGTTGACATTTCTGAACGAAGCAGGGACGAACCGATTTTCACCGAAAATGAAACATGATGTAGACCACATTGAAGTGAAGAACCATGCTAAGTTCCGTTTTGATCGTATGGATATTTCCGGGAAAAATTAGTTCCAAGTGCTCGTTGAATCTCAGTTATACATATCGTCGGTGTAACTCCGTAACCACGTATCTTGTTTGCGATGTTTGAAAATCTCCACACATATTTCCTTTTTTTTTTTTTTAAAGCACAAATCGACATCATTCCTTGAAGTTTTCGCAGAATTTTCTACGCACAGAGAACGGCAGTCTTTAAGAACTGCCGTTGAAAAGTTTTTCGTTTCAAAAATAAAGTATGACAGGAAGTCTAAGTCTGAAATGTCGCAAACCGAGAAACGATGTAGCAAAGTGACATTGTCGATATGTCGATAGTACCTTTTCAATTGGGTTCAGTTTTCAACTCAGGGCTTAAGGATTGATACTCTTCGAGTAGAAAATCCCGAAAATGACGAGGTCGTACCGTCTGCAACCGGTAGATATTTCATCGAAATGTACCATGGTAAAACGAACCATAAATTACGCGAATCATTTACTTAGTTTCTTATTTGCACTTACATACCCGCGGTTCCGTTTAGCAAAAAGTCGCCAATTTTTCTCCTAAGTTCTGAAAAGAAAAATAAAATTTTCAATCTTTCGTCTAATTCTTCAAAATCGAGTCAACCTTTTTCATTCCCTGCAGGATTCCAGTATGTACGTCTCGTTTTGTCCAGCAAGGTGTCTTGCATCAGGATTTTCCCGATTCTATCAGGATTTCAGGTCAATCAGGATTTAATTCCGATTTCATCAGGATTTGAGGAAAAGTCGGTCGCACTTGAAATCAGGATTTGAGAAAAGTCGGCCGTCCGATCGGATTCTTTTATCGAGCTATTTTTGTGAAACATTCGCCTTCGCAAAAAAATCAGGATTTGGAAAAAGTATGAGATCAGAATTTGGAAAAATTATGAAATCAGGATTTGGAAAAATTATGGAATCAGGATTTAGCAGTCAACAAGCAGGATTTAATCAGGATTTTTCGAAAGAAAAGATAAACTGGACACCCTGTCCAGATCCGAGACACCATGATTCAAACCTTCTCAAATGCCCCACTTTGAGACGGCTCTGAGTATCGACAACCGTAGCATGACTTCAGGTTACGAGCGCCCCCCCCCCCCCCCNGAAATGAGAGGGAGGCGCGATGGTTACTGCAGCCTTGGAATTTAATGCGTTTTTAACTGGCGAGGAAAGCACGCTCAGTCTTTCGTTTAAGTTAGGCGAAACTTTGTTTTAATTTGTAGTCCCTCGGTTTTCGCTTGTCTGGGGAGTTGCGCCCCGCTCCCGCCAGAGCGCGCGGCGTTGCAGATTAAGGTGGATTCTCGACGAGTTGAATGAGGTTGTGCTCGTTTCAACTCTTACGAAGACTCCCCGGAATACCAAGTATCGGAGAGAAAAAGGAGGGCAGAGCGGAATCACCATGGATGCCACTTTGATTCACGGTGTCTGGAGCACAGAGCGTCGTTTCGTCACGAAAGAACGTAACTTAATTTCAATGTTACTAAATTATTCCTCGCAAATTTCATTTTTATCAGGAGAATCGTGGGAATTTCTAACTGAAACTGTTACAGGCCATTCTTCTGCTATCAAGGAAAATTCAGAAAAATTGTTGACAAAAATTGCAGAGGTACTTTTTCTTTTTTAGCAAAATTTAATTTTTTGATCCGGCAAGATCGCTGTCAGTGGCGGTTGGGTGTCGCAGAGCGCACAGAAGCGCTGTAAGAGCGACTTACTAGTAGTAGTAGTAGTAATTGTTTGAGTGAATTTTGCAATCTTGGAATGAAGTTACGTTCAGTGGCGTGGCGTGAAAGATCGATTATCGATATCTCGCCATTTGAAACTATGGTAAAGAATCGATTACCTAGGTGTTCGCTGCGAACACCCTGATAATCGATCTTTTTTCATAGGCTTGAGTGGGATATCAATCGATATATCGCAAAGCACGCCACGCCACTGGTTACGTTCCGAAGTGCGGAAAACGAGTTGCAGTTGTCTTGATCCCTGCACTGAAAAAAAATGGTTACGTAGTGAGAGTCTATACTGATTGGAAAATCCAAGGTATGAACTGCTCGCACATACGGTCTGGCTTTCACAAATAGAGCAGAGATGTGCCGTAAACATGTCCCGTATGGAAAAGCATGTGTATGAACTTACCATTCATACGGTATAGACGCTGGGTCCATACGGTATGGACACTGGACGCTGGGTCCACACGCGTACGTTTTTAATCATTGGAAAAAACTGCTCGAAAAATTGCCGCGATATTAAGATGCTTATCGCGTAATTTCTCTTTTTTTATAAAACTGATGAAACACTTGCGCATTCTCTGCAATACTCAGATGAAAATCGCGTTATTCCTCACTTTTTCGCAAAATCACTGCATGAATGATGATTTCAGGTAGGTTCCTCGCACGCTGTAAGCGAGCGAGCAACTATTCAAACTCCGGAGTAGGTATGTGGTATCACGCAAAATTGAAGGAAACTTTTAACTTCTCACTTCAACTTGCCCCTTGTCGTTTATGGATAT